AATGACAGATTGCTTTTTGTGCAATTTACAAGCATGAGAGATGGTTAGTATGAAGTGTAGGCACTGAGGGTGGTCACTGCCAGGGTTTCTTTACATCCTCAGTGGTTCTTATACATCCCTCCGATGTTGGTTAGTAATGACGAGTGTGGAGAGACGGGACCGCCATTTAAAGTGGTAATCCAAGCCACTTGAAAGCCTAACCATTTGCAGGTGTAATTACAAAGGCAGCACTTTCTCCTCAGTTATTTTAAGACCCTGAGTGTTGGTCCGAAAATATTTCTGAGAAAAATTTTCTTGATGAAACATAACTCACATCTTTATTAACTATCCAAGCAACAAAAGCACCCTAATAAGTTAAATTATTGTTGGTTTTTGTATGTAAAATTACACATTACAAGATACATGTATGGCATGAACTGGTATGGTGCTGTCTTTCACAGTTGTATATAGGTCATTCCTGGGATTGTGGGTTTGAATCTCCAYTGAACTGCAGATGTGAGTTGAGTTAGTTTGATGTAATTGTTCTTTCTTTTGACACAAGGGTTTTTCTCTACTGTAGGTTCTCAATCCATAAAAATCAAAATGTATTTTGAGTGATACATGTCTGTTGTAAATAGTACTTTTCATTTAATTCTGCAAAGAACGTGCGTAATACTGGAAAAGACCATGCCTGATATGAGACTGTATCAGCACTTCTCATTTGCTCGCGCTGGGTAAGATAGGGTTTGGAGAGAGTTTGAGCATTTCTTTGCAGAATTCAATGATAAACAACTTATAAGTAGGCTAAGCATCTGATACAGCTTTGCATTTTTACTCGTCATTTGTATTTTGGCTGCTCACCTAAAGGCTCGCCAAAAATATACTCCGTGGCTTGTCAAAATACACAGCCGTATAAGATGCCTAGCCGACTGATAACCTTTATATATAGTAGTAGAGCATGTATATTGAACCCCCTGGAAGAGCCTATAATACAGCTGGATTGAAAGTTTTGCTTTGCTTTTTGCAGCCTATTCTAAAACTTCGTTCTTAAAATCATTTATTTTAATTTTCTCAATTTTTGATGCCATTGATATCTTTTCCAGATTCATTTATCGTACCTATAATGAAGAAGGCAGATGTGTACCTATAGGAGGGGCTCACAAGAGTGCTAACATTAGGACCCATAACCTACAAAGACCCTCCAGACTGTACTTTGACATGACTCCTCCCTTGGCCAGCAGCATTGAACATGCTCTGGAGTTTGCCCGAGCGGTATGTCAGTAACCATTGATTTAATACTTACAGGAAACTCTGATGTTATCAAACCCTGAAACAACCTCTGGGCTGATCTAAGTCAGGGCATGGCTAACTCACAGAT